AGCCCCGGGGGGTTTAAAAAAAAAAAAAAAAAAAAAAAAAAAAAAAAAAAAAGGTTGCTCGGTGAAGAGTGGCTTCTTTTGTGTGCAGACATCCTCTTCTGAACAGAAGCTGCAAAAACAGTCACCTGATGTACTTCTGTCCCCCAGGATGTAATGCTACAGTAGCTAGACACACAAACACAACCCCCCCTCCCCACCCCTGTCCCAGTAAAAGCCCAGGTTACTAAAATACTCTGTCTCTGTGGTTCCTGATTGCAGGAACCAACAGGAAACCATAAATTAAAAGATCACAATATTAAAACTCTATGATAGAAGGAGCTCTGGGAACAATCGTTAGAGGCTATCATTATTTACAAGAGTTAAATTATTAAAATGGCTTTTTCTCAGCGTCTTGAGTCTCTCTTAGTGTTCCTTTAGAGGTCTCTGATTGGGACCTCTCAGTAGTGTCATCTGCTAACAATGACGTCACAGCATTTAGAGTCGAGGGCGTCGCGGTGCCAACGGGAGAGGCCGGCAAACTCCCTTCACAGGTCCTCCGACGTCTTCAGCAGCTCCATAAGCGCTCCGACCGCTCCAAAGTAACCCTGGAGCAAAACGAGGGACGCTTTAGGGAACCTTTCACACAAGCTGAGGGTAAACGGCAGCAGAAGCACAACCAAACATGAAGCTGCAGATTTGTCAAATGGAAGAGTAGAAGAAGACGGCGAGTTCGAGCAAACTGGAGCTGCAACCAACGACTGTTTTAGTTATTGAAAACCCAGCGATTTTTCTGACTATTAAATCGATTAATCATAAAAATAAAAATTGGCTTTCTGAACTTTTGTCATTTACGCCTTTTTTATATAATATTGGTGCGTTTTTAAAAGATGCAAAGAAACTTCTTTTTTTTTTCTTTTACAGAATTTGAACTGGTTGAGACTAAACTACGCCACTTGAGGACTTTTTGGTAGAACATATTTATAGAAAGTTTATTGGTTTTTTTTCATTATTTTAAATGGGGAATGTTTATATTTTTGTAAAACTTTGGTTTATTTGCTGCTATGAATGTGTTCTTTCAGCTATTTTCCCATTTAAGTCTGCATACGTCAGTTAATGATTAATCGATTACTCAATTAGATGAAGATTATTTTGATAATTCATCACAATTAATGATGATGTACAACTTCAGAACATTTTACGTTCTGCATTTTTTACATCAACGCATCACTGAAGTATCATTCATCGCCATGTCTCCTCTTTAGGCGTTGTGGTTTATGTGTTGTAATAATCATTTAGTGCTTATGGAGGTGTGAACGATAAAACAGTTTGGTTAAATCCCATCTTAGCCAGTAGGAAACCGCCAAGTTAACGCAGATGAAGGTAAGCTTCTTGGCTTTAAATCGGTTTAACCGGGAGCATTTGGTCGTCTTAATTGACTTCAATGAATGAGAGGCTTCCTTTAAAGTGTTGTCAGATTTATTACAAAAGACACTGCTGATCCTTTATGTGTTTGCATGACAGTGAATTTAAGACTTTTACATACAAATTGAATTTTGTTTTCTCCTTTTTTTTCCCCCAAGACAGCATTAAAGTTTTTTTGTTTTTTTTTTAAATCATACATTTAACACACAATATTCCACTTGGCATACTTCAGCTGTATTAAGCTACTTTAAGAAAATCTAAAAATTCTGATTATTGTTGCTCACCTCATGCTCCAGAAAGAGGGCTCGTAGCTGCCCTTTTGACCAGAAGTCCATGGCGTAGGCTAGCAGCTTTGTGGACACGGTGTTGATCCGAAGGAAGTTCCCAACAAACACAACCCGCTCAATTTTCTGAAACAAATACAGATGTGGAATTTAATATATATATATATATATATATATATATATATATATATATATATATACACATATACACTGCCTTGTTAAAAGTGTCAAAAATAGCAAGAATAAGTTAATGCTGTTACATTTTTAAATGAAGATTTATATGAACAGAAGCCAAAGTAAATCCTACAATTAAATTATATAAATGTTTTTGTTGCCAAAGTTCAGAAACATTTGCAGTAACCCTCATCAGTCAGCAGGTGGTGCTAATGAACTGATAATATTACAAAACGAGCCCAACTGATCCATATGGATTACAAAATCTGAGGGAAAAAAAAACAAAAAAAAAACAATCATCCTCTCTAAAGACAGAGGGGGGGAAAAATATTCACTATATTTAACGGGTCATACAATCCTGAGAATGAAGGCCCAAATTTTAATGTTTACATTTATTGAAATCTAGATCTATTCCAAAGAACAATTGTAAAAACAATAATAAGAAAATAACCCTGGCTGCTTTTATCTGTCCTTGCTGCAGATCTGCATGCAGTGATAGCCCTGTACAATGCTGCTTGATCGCCATGCCACACAAGGCAACACTGTAAAGAAGCTCACAGCACGCAGAAACACTCCTGATTGGTCCCTGCTACGCATGAGACTCTTAAACCCACCACTTTTCACTCAGCTTTCCCCTGAGATACAAGAGACACGGATCCAGCACGGCCCACCGACTGTATTATGTTCATAGGAGCACTAATGTTTGACTTTTGTGGCTACACGATTAAAAAATATCACATTCTCTCCGCTTGTGATTTCCTATGATTAAAACATGCTGGGGAATTAATTATTGTCTAGCTAAATAATTTTTAAAAACAAAAATTAAAGTAGATATTGTTTTGCGTTTGTTAAAATAGCTGAAGCTGCAGTGGCAAGGAACATGGTTCTGTTTTGTTAAATCATTACCCTGAAAACACCCAGCTTTGTTGTTTTATTTATTTCATTTATTTATTTTTTTTGTCAGGCGGTTGCACTGACTCTCCTGGAAACAAACTCTGGTCTCAGGACCACTGGTGGTCCGTAGGCGCCCCCTTGTGGTCCGCAAGGTACTGCATGTAAACTACTGTTTATTTGCCATGAGGTGAGTTCAAAGTCCGACACGTTTTGTCTGTTTTGTAAAAACAACTTCTCATCTGGATGAACAAAAACAACAATAAGCAAGACAAGACACTAATATATTCATTTCATGTTGTATATATTAGGATGTTTTTTGTTTGTTTTTGTGGGGGCAGTTTCAAGTTAGGTTGTCTGTGAGTGTTTGCTAAATGGGTTTATTTAGCAAATGGGGTTATTTAGCAAATGGGTTTGCTAAATAACCCATTTAGCAATGGGTTATTACAAATTACAGAATCTCCTGTAATTTGCTTAAACATGAGACTTAGCATCTGTGTGCTCGTGTGAATGTAAATACCTCGTTGACAGCACACATGCGTGCTATAGATCCTATGTTATTGGTGATGGTGATTAGTGTGGCTCTGGCCAGGTCTTCCTTACTGATGCTGTCTCGCTTCTCTTTGCACATCATGTGACCAAAACTGTAAAACAAGCAGAAAGACAAACATCAAGCTACGCTGAGCACCAACCAGTTATCTCTTCCCCCACTTAGCTGCAGGTCAAACCAAATAAAACGAGATGTTTTGTAATGCACGTCACAACATTCCAGGCACTCATGAGAAATTTGAGATACAAGTTTATGTGTCGTTTGTGCCGCTCTGAGAAAAGTCTTCCTGTAATGTTTTCACATCCCGCTGTCAGTGCGCTATGACAGAGGGATGCGAAATTCACTTTACAAGAAGGTTAATGACGCACATCAAATTACCTAATTAGCCAAACATCAAGCTTATAGGTGACTTCATTGAAGTTTATTAAGATTTAAAGAAGTGAATCAAACCAATTTTTTGTAATATATATATACGCATTATATCACAAATGATGTGAATTCATGCCAGAAAAGCTCGGCATCCTCCATCTGAAACCCCCTGTGACGGCGACGTCGCGCTCACCTGGAGGCGACGGCCGAGCCCTGCAGGCCGAAGCGCTCGTAGTCCCCGCCGTAGATGTCTTTCACCAGCTTGTCCACGTTTGTGGAGTCGCCCTTGCTGGCCATTTCCAGCGCCTCCTCGAACGTCTCGCAGCCCGTCAGGAGGCAGCAGAGGCCGAGGAACGTTCCACCTCCCAGGCTGAAAGCGCGAGAGAGGAGGAGGAGGAGGGTTCCAGGAAGACGACAACAGAAAAGAAATGCAGGTCAGGTAAGAGCTGAAGGCAAGAAGAATCAATCAATCAATCAAAGCCTTTGACTGATGACGCAAGTGGCTTGAAATTAGAATGACATCTATGCATTTAGAAGATGCCAGCTGAAAAAGTGAAAGAGGATGGAATTGAGCAATTAATCCACTACAAATGGAACGGAAGGAATGCACTGGGAAAATATTTTGTTACAGATGAGCAACGTCTCCTTTTGATTTCCTGCTCTGCAAAATTTTCTCAGATCTGTCTCCGATCGCCTTTTAGCATCAATAAAATTAAATCAAAAACTGATTGTTGTGAGTTTTGAAATAAATGCCTGATCTACCTAGAGTTGAAGAAGCTTTAAGAAGTGATTTTAAGTCAGAACTATAACCAAAGCCTGGACCAGAATGCATCAGAAAGCCACTGCCCTCAGGCAGGCATTTTAAGGAGTGAAAGTAGGTTAACACACAACAACACGAGACGTCTTCTCGAAATTGTCCTCATTCTGATCATGCGAAGCACCAGGAAGTTACCATGGAAACATCTGCAGAAACACATCTGTATTTATACAAATTAGGTTGATTTGATAAAGACTTTTTGGTCATTCGCGTTGTTGGTACCGGAACCTCTCGCATTGCTCTCGACAACGCTCATTACAGCAGGTGTTGGTGCTTTTTGGCAGGGAAAAATGAAATCAGCATCTCCATAAAACATATCAGCAGAGGGAACCACAAATTGCTCTGTAAATTTCCTCGTAAACCACTGTGCCGTCTTTGAACTTGATAAAACCCAGTGGACCAACATCACCTGATGACCCAGCTCCTCAAATAATCAGCGTTGGGGAAACCGTCCCACAGGACCTCGAGCTGCTCAGTCTCTGTGCCTCCCTGCTCTTCTTCCAGACTCTGGGACTTCAGTTACCACACGAAATGTAAACATGACGAGCTTAAAAGGAGGAACATACAATTCATTCGTCCTGTATTAGCCGTTGTGTGGTCGCTTTAACGCTTTGAATCTCCCTTGAACCAGGAGTTTCTGCAAGTTTTGTCAACTCAAATTTAAGACCTTTAACAATGGGCTTTATATCGCCACAGAAACGCACAAATTTCGTCCAACCAACTTGCGAAAAATTCCCACTTAACCATGATTGACGCAAAAAAAAAAAAAAAAGCTAGCTAACAGGGGTTATGTTAGAAATGTGTTAAGAAACGCAATGAAGATGCAACTTAAACTTTTGCCTGACAGAAAAATCCTGTGGGGAAAAAAATACATAGAATACATAGATGAGATTAAGTAGACCTGCAAAACTGAAGACCTGTAAATTTTAAAGGCCAACTTACTTTTTCAAAATAAACTATAGATATTTTAAGGCCTTCATTTTAGATGGATGAATTTAAGACTTGCACGGACACCCTGTCAAACTTTCCAATGACCTTTGCTTCTCAGGCTCCTCCAGGCTGCCGTCATCCTTGTTGCGTTTGTCCCTCTTGCACCATAAATGCTCCTTTCCCTCAACTCTGCACTCTGGACACGCAGTTTCTTTAGCAATGCACTTTTTTATGGCTGACCATCCTTGCTCAATGGTGTCAATGACCGTCTGTTGGAAAACTACCAAGTCAGTTTGCACATGTAAGCTATAAAATGGCTGCCATGTCGTATTTCTGTACTAAACGGCCTTTTTGTAATTGGTCTTGTAGCAGAAATGCACACATGAAATATGCGTTACTCCATCTGTAATCAATCTTGATCATAAATTTAATCACATCCTGAATTACTGGGATGTTCCTGTTGTCAATGTGACAACCCCGGATAGACATACGGCATCAACAAACACATATTTGTTGCCGGTAGTTTTCTGAATTAGTTTTATGAGCTGAACAAACATTTGACAGCTAATCAGGAGCATGGATCAACATGGAAGCTACTTCTGACATAACAACAACATGCCTTTTGTATTTGCGTCACTGTCTCACTGACCTTTTCAGGATCGGTCTAATCACACCTGCTTCACTTATTAAGTGGAAAAGAATTGCAAGGTGAGGACCAAACCTCACTTTGGCTTAGTGCAACAAATAACTAATCAACAGTAAACAGCTTCATTAGTGGTTTTATTGCTATAATACCAAATAATAAAACCAATATTATAAATTGAAAGTGGAGCTTGTGTACTCTTAAACAGCATTTATTTGTTGGAAATGTACAGTAATCTACTGTTCATGTAAGGTAAAGCGATAAAGGATTATTGTGCATTTTAAATGTGAATATGTTACCTGAGCTGATTAAAGGTTCCAGTTAAAATGGAACAAAATAGTAGAGAAACGGGTTCAACATGCAAGGCATTTTTGGAAATTTCCTTTGAGAGATAACCTTTGAACATACTCTGCAAGAACAAAGCCTCTCAGGCTATGCAAGAACTAGGCGACGACATTCTGTTCCCTGCTTCAGGAATCCTTGCAGCTTGTTTTTGACCACTTTGTTTCTTGTGTGGTGTCTGAGAAATGTGAAGGTGGAGTGTTTCAGGAGGAGAGACCTAAACAGGGTTTGTACTTAAGTTCTGCTCTTGAGTTTTTGCGAAGTATGAAATGTTTTGGGCAGAGAGAAGTTTGTCCTTGTGGCCTCTGGAATTTCTCTGCTCTCATTGTCACTAATTAAACTGCTTCTCAATACCTTTTCTTCACTAATTGTTGTTTTATTTGTCTGTTAATATTGTTAAAATGACCCAAGACTACCCAAACGTCATCTTCAATTTGAAATCAACATTTGTAAATTGCTTTTTATTAACTTTAGGGCAGCACAACTTTGACTACGTCAGGCTTTAAAAACATTTTGATACTCTGATGTGAGCCTACAGTCATCTGCGACTTTTTTACATTTTCACATCCGTTTTTTTTGTTGCTTTTTCTTTTTTCAGTATTTGCTTAAATTAAGCGATGCAGGTCCTCCTCACCTTGTCCCGGTTACCCGTTTGTAGTTGTTCTCTGAGTAGACCGCCAGTATGGAGACCCCGGAGCCGATGTTGACCAGCAGCATTGGGAAGTGGTTGCCCAGGTTGCAGGGCTTTTTCACGCAGCTGTGGGGATCCGAAGGGTTCTGGAAGTAGTAGCACTCCGGGTGTCCGTTGAAACCGACCCGGTCGATAAACAGCAGGCCACGGATGAGGCAGTCCAGCTCATCCAGCTTCAGCAGCTCCAGGTCAGCCATCTGGGTCACAGACAGAGGTGGGTTAGGACGAATGCAACAAGCAGTCAGGGATTCTGGACAGATTTCAGAAAAACTGCAGTCTGATGGATGAACAGACAAACAAGAGGACGCAAGTGCAGAATAATCACTTTTTTCACCACATATTTTATTCAATTTAAAGGGGAAGTATTATGTGATTCCAAGTATATAGTATATAAACAGTGTTGCCTTAAATTGTTATAAAATGTTATATATATCAAATATGACTTAAAAGAAATTTGACCTTGTAATTTGACACCTTGATATTGGGCTCTTGTTAACCCTTTAACAATGTTTTCACCAGCGTTTCACAGAGAAGCAGCTGGTATTATGAGCTCATCAGACGCCCAGTTCCAGCAGGTGTTTGCCAATCGCTGCTGGCTAGTCTGAAGGAGCTGAGTGCGGGAGTCATGTGGAAGGGTTGCTTTGTGAGATGGAAACTTGGAAACTGGCATTTTGAAAAGCTGTGTGGTTGCCATGGGAGACTAAGGGATTTCTCAAAAATGAATGAAACAATCAAAGGTGTTGATGAGGGAAAAACATTATAACATGACTCAAAAAGTTCAAAAAAGTCGACTTTAAATGATACTCCCCCTTTAAAATCAAATTTTATACTTTTCCAGAATCCAAAGAGACATTTAGCAGGTCAGGATAAAATAAACACTTAAATATTTGCTGTAGAATTAAAAAAAAAAAAAAAAAAAAGGAATTTTAAAATATCTATTTGGGTCAGTTTTTCAGGTTCAGAGAAACACAGATACCACATTCACATAATTTCTGAAAAAGGCGATATGAGCTCGCTAATGTATGACCTACATCTGCTGTGTGGACAGATGCTAAAAGTAGACTGTACAAATGTAAATTTGATATATACAACATGTAGCTGAGGCCAACGTGGCCATATTCGAAAAGTCCAACAGTGGGGTGGCAAATAATGAGCTCTACAAGCGTTGTACGCCAGACTCACGGCTCTGAAGTCGTTCTCAAACTTGTAGGCGCCGCCTCCCGTGGCGCACAGCGTCGTGTGCAGGCTCGAGAAGTTCTTGTCTCGTCCCATCTGGATGAACCGGGGCATGGCCTGGGTCGGGAAGCGGATAAAGTGCAGGTTGCCTGTCCGGCCACACATGGTCAGGTTCCTCAGTTCCAGGTGGACGTCGCGGACACCTGTTTTACCTGAGGGCACAAAAAAAAAAAAAGTTTTCCTAAACAACAATTCTGAGCTAGCTTGCAAATGAAAACATTTTCTTTGACAGAAAGTAAAACAAGGCCTTGGGTAGTGTACTGGACCTGACTTTTGTATCATGAGACCATGAAGGACTGCGTGTGTAAGCTTACGCACCATAGGCCACGTTTGAGGTGAGGTAGCGGCGGATAGATTTGAGGTTTTCAACTTCTTCTTGTTCTTCTTCTGCAGTGATGTCGACTGGCTCAAAGTACACCAGCTTAACCAAGGTGCCACCGATGTCCATTCCAAACCAGGGGAAAGCTGCAGAGGGAAACATGGGATTAGCTTCTTAACTTTTAGATGAGAAGCTACAGATCTGAACGACTGTGAAGACTGTTACCAGGAAAGGATTAATTCTGTTATTGTGGTTGGAGCAAAACCAGTGAAAACATGAAAAATCAAATGGCTCCCACAGCATTTGACAATCTCAACTTTGTCCGTGAGATTTCATTACAGCCTCCAGTCGACACTTGAAACAGACTACTGCTTCCCTTTATCGATACTCACCACACATAGACCAATTTCTCTCAGAATGTTAAAGACATGGGCCTCAGTATTTATTTTATGACTGAAAGTTAAAGTGGCAGAATCAGCTTTGGGATAAAAAAAAAAAAAAAAAGTCACGTATTGTCAGGAATTGAAATTTGAATTTAAATTATAAGCCTGAACAAAATGAAATATGAAAAAAATGCCACGACATTTTGAGTTTTTTCTTAAAGTTTTCCATATGAAATGTAAACTAAATAGAGACCTTACATAATGTGTCTCTTCAGCAAATTTACATGTCATCGTATGCAGTTCAAAATATGCTGGTTGAAGTTAAGTTTTTTAGTTAAATACTTAACTGAACACCGTCTATTCAATGTTAAAGTCATCTCAAATTTGTACAGAAATGTGGAGCATTTTACTGTACAGATATTCTGTGATTCATAGAGAGAGAGAGGGCCCCAGCTCAGTCCTGTCTCTGACTGCGGCTGCATGATAGCGCTACATACGGCGCCAACATTGATAACACCATTTTCTTTTTCGTGGCGAGTTTAGTCCAAGATTGAATCTGACTGGAAGAAGACATAATCTTTCAGAACGAAAGCTGATAAATAAATTAATTAAATAAAGCACATCGCCACAGCTCGCTGAGAGCCAATGTTCCCATGGAAACAGGTAACCCTTCCTTCCCCCACCGTCTCTCATACAGTCTTCAGCCTTTCTATTTTCTCTTCCACTCAGCTTCCCCTCAACCTCTCAGGCGGTTTTATGCATACCATCCATCTTCCCATACTTCTCTGCTCCCCCCCCCACCCACCTGCTTGACTCTCACAATTAAAGTAAGGTCTCGTTGGATCGGATCCTGCAGGACGAGTCCAGAGCGCCACGGAGCTAAAACCATTTTAACCGTCACTTTTTCTGTTTGGAGCCATGTATATATACAAAAAGCATTTTTTATAAAGAAATAAATGAGTACATCTCATCACTGAAATAAAAGTAAACTGCCCCAATTACAGTCTAATAAAGCTGACTGAGAACGTGGTCGGTCATTATGGAGCTCAAATTAATGTAGTGCAGTCCTTCACCTGGCTGCTGCTGCACACTGCTGGTCAGCTGCCTGCGGCCTACTTTTTTTTTTTTTTAAACAGTAATATCACTCTGTGCAATAAGTATAAGAACGCCTCCACTAACATGAGCAAGTGTTTTACCTGTACTTTGATTTAACTTCAAGTCGGAAATAACACATTTCTGTTATTGATGATCTCATTACATACATCATTAACGTTATGTTTTTGGCAGCGGTAGAAATGTTTTCTTTTCCTTTAAATGCTTTTAAATTTTAAATAATGTTGCTTTTTTTGGGGATTTCAGGCACAAAAACCAAGTAGGAATCAGTTGAACAAAAATATTAGGAATTCGTTTATGAAGAATTTTAGAAATATCTCCACCGGATGCAGAGTATTTTCAAAACATCAAGATCACAACAAGCAAAAAAAACAAAAAACAAAAAAAACATAAAAAAAAAACAAACAAAAAAACAGTTGGATTATTAAAAAAAGAAAGAATTACAAAGTACTAAAGCTAATAATAAATTACAGATTTCTTAATAACCATGCGTTTCTGGTTGTGTATCCTCTATTTTTAGCAGTCACCAGCTCTGACCCACTTCTGTTTGCTCAGGCAGCTGAACAAATACCAAAGTTCTAGTTGACACAAGTTTGGAAATGATGGTGCTACAGCAGTCAGGGTGACACGACAAAGGTTACTGAAGGTCAAACAGTAAAGGATCTCCCTTTATTAGGCCTCAAAATATTAGCATTTTATTCTAGCTGTGCTGCACAGAGGTAAGGAAAAAGGGCAGAACCTGACACTTGATAGAACTAATACAGTTTCACGGAAACCGGCTTTCTAAACAACATAACTCTTTAAGAGGGCATTTTACCACTTAAGTATATATCGTGGTAAGCGGAGGTTTTCAACACAGGAATGTGATGAAGCAATTTGTTTTGTGCATGGTGGCGAGCCAACACACTGAGCTGACAGGACAATGAAAACCACAGAGCTCCACATGTAAACAAACCTCCTCGCGCTGAAACGCTGTGCAGTAAAATCCGTCACAACAACAACTAAAAAACCGTAAAGTGTCTGGTTTTATTCATCTGCAGGGACGGTACGAGTAAAGCTGCACATAGAGTTGCATTTAGAGCAGGTCAAGGTAAAACTGATGCAAGTCACCAAGCATCTTTCGACAGCAGAGGTTATTGGTCCTAAGTTATGTCAATATACAAACTGCTTAATTTAAAGTCAGACAATAATCAATATCTCCGAGTTAAAATAGGAGCAAGTACTGATTGTACACCAAATGCACAACTAAAAATAATCTCAAATAATCCTGAATACTTGTATTTAATTATAAAACAAGAGAGAAAATAAGACATACTGGGAAGATAAATACGACCGTTTGGAACTTTTGCTGCACAGATGATCCATAACTTTGCTTTAAAAGGAAAATAAACCAGATTTGCAACAGTCATTACTAAACTAGCAGTGTGCTGCAAGCGTGAAGTGCTTAAAGCCTGCATGTGATTTAATCCGTGCAGCCGAGTTTCTGACTTGATAATCAGGAGATATGATGATTTCACAACAAGGGAACAGGCTGACCGTCTGGATTACAGGGGCAAAGTTCACTTTCAGGATAATTTAGACCAGGGATTGCTGCAAAAAAAATTATTTTGTTCCACACTTTGGTTTGCTTTAATTTGCTTGCAGAGTAAACGCATGTTCTGATTTCCAAAAAAAAGAAAGCATGAAAAATTGTTTTCAAAAGGTTCTCGGTTTCATTTTGATATGAAAATCTCTGCAACAGACAGAAGAAATTGTGAAACTATGATTATTATTTTAACGTGATTGGATAACAACATATGATGTCCTACGTGAAGTAACTTTAAAAGGATTCTAAATCGAGTTTTAGCAGGAAGTCCTTTGGTCTGGAGCTTCGTCAGGTTCCCTGTGGTTGCACAGGAAACGTCTTAAAATGCATTGTGACACTGAATTGCTTCAGCAAAACCAACAGCAAGGAGGATGACAACATCTCTGTGGAGGAGTAAAAGAAATACTTCCTCAAATCAATGACTAAATATGATCAATCTACATCTTAGGCCAAATTACCAGTTCTACTCTGGAAAGCTTCTTTCATTTTCCTGTTTTGCAGGCAAATAAAAACTATATTAGGGATGGTATGGTTATTCAAAATAAGGCAAACTGAGGCTTTCAAAAGTTACAGTTCACAGGTTCTGTTTGCACAGAGCCGGTTATCAGTGAAACCGTAACATTTTTGTGCATTTTTACACATCTCCGGTGATCGGACTCGTAACCTTTTGACACCAGGTCTCAGAGGTGAAGTGTTTGGAAATCTGTGTTGCATATATATTCCGGTTTGGTGCATCACATAGACGGCAAGCAACAAAGATGAATTCATTTCATATTTATGCATATTGGCTTCAACAGAAAACAGAAATGAGTGGTTACTGCAAGATATTGTGTCCCAAACTACAGATGGACATTTATCGGATTGTTTATCGTTATTGTGAAAACTTTCTAAAAATTGTGATTTATCGCAAAAACAATAAATTACAATTAATGATATTTGTATTGTCAGAATGTTTTTATTTTTATCTTTTTAATTTTTTTTTTTACAAATTTCTTCAAGAGTTTCATAATAGCATCACGTTGTAATATGACTTTATGCAGTTACTGTATGCAGTTTAGTGAGAATCAAACTTATTTATGCAAATGGTTTCCTGAAGCCTAATTTAAAAACTAGATATGTTTTCTTACAGTAGTAGGAAAAGAGACAAGTACTAGGAGATATTTTGTTTTTTTTGTTTTGTTTTCTGTTTTTTTTTTAAATTTTTGTTAAAATTCTTCACTACTTGTGTTCTGTATTGTTGCGCAGCAGGGGAGAGATTAGGAAAAGATGGAAAGGTTAATTCAAGGCAATAGTGATGCAAGAGTTGCTCTTTTGGAAATATGCCCAAAACTTTGAATCAGTAAAGCAACCGTTCTATTGACATCAGTACATGGTGACATAATGAAAACAGTTAAAGATTGACAACAGCCTGATTGATGAAGCAGCCATAGACAAGCAGAAAAACACAAGGACAATCTCTGTGGCAAAGATTATAACCTTGGCAGAAAAATATAATCTCAAAAGAAAACCACTGAAAAATCCTTAATGTCTCCTACCAGGTAGTATTTGATTAAAGCACACAAATACCCAGTAAAACAAATACACAAACTTCCTTCCAAAAATGCTAAACATTTTGATCAGAACCTATTTTTCTCCTCTCCTACGTGACCTGAAACACCCCTGGTGGACCATCTCTCCAAGGAACTCTATTCAAAATGGCCACAAATGCACACCGTGCTGCGTGTGTGCGCAGCCAAAAGTCACTGTGACAAGGAGAAGGGCCAGGGAGAAGGGGGTGATTCGAGTCTATGTAGGTGAAAGGCCTCTGGCCGAACACACACCTACTCTGCACCGCATGTCCACATGGTGGAATAAAGCGCACGCATGCCAACAGGAGAGCAAAACATGTGTTGCTTTTGTTTGTTAAACTTTAATTGTCCTGTCCTGTTCTGTCCCCAGGCTGAGATAAGACAGGAACACATGCCAGGCTGCAGGAGATTGTGTTGATACAGTGGGCACACCGATAAAAAAAAGTTTCATATGCTTAACAAGTAGTTTTATCCTCAAACATTAATATTACTGCCTT